GATGCTAGGTAGTAGAGAAGGGGAGGGGGGGGGGGGGGGGGGGGAACAGCATTTGAGCATTAATTGGATGAGAATGGCAATTTGTGGATGTGAGGAATAGCAAAGGTGCCACTAGAGTGTGTAAGTGGGCAGCTGGCACAGTAGCTTTTGCCAACGTTTGCGTTGCTGTGGGAGTACAGCAATATGGTAGCTGTTAACATTGCACTCAATAAATCTCTTTTCATATGTGAACACATGACTAGCCTTTTGGAGAATCAAGCTTAGTATTCTCTGCATCCACGGCAGGATTTCATGTATAATCCCAGCAAATGTCAGCAGGCCTTCATGGGTGTTTAAATATTGCATATGTCAAATTGCTTTCTTGAAATCTAACACATATTGAAATAGTGAAATAATAGTAAAAACAAATTCACGCCTTTAATTATACACACCAAAATGGGGTAATGCTCACCGTAGGTAGCACTTTTTCTCAGCTGACTCAAGCCTTAAGGCCTGCTGCTCAAGCCTGTGGGCCTGCTGCCCTCAAGTGCATGTGGCAACGTTTTATTAACATGAGGTTTGGTTTCTACCTGCTATATATATGTGCATCCATAGAAAAGGAGCACTTAAGTTTCTTCCAATGTCTTTACTGGAAATAAGAAGGACATTAAAATGATTGTGTTAGTAGTAGGGAATCATCCCAGTTTCATGTTAACTTTGATACGTTTCATAACTATTTGAGTTAAACAACAAAGACTATTCTAGGTAAAAACGGCACTGGACCTCAGTAAGGCGTGTTTCTACAACTATGTCTTCCCAGGAGACTTCCTCTTGTGGATCTCTTACAACTCGGACGCAAAGATTCGCTAAATTATTCTACAGGGAAAAAAATCCTCTGGCATTAGGTTTCTATCTTCTAGTCGTGCTCTGTTTCTGTTCTGCCATGGCATTTGTCTCTGTGCTGACTGTGCCTACGTTTCCTTCTTTACCTTCTTCAAAGGGCCTCCTTTCTGTGCCTCAGTCCTCCCCTACTAATCCTCGCTGTAGGAGGAGAGATTCATCGCTGCTTAACTATTAATTCTGAACAACTCCCAGAGCCCCATGTGCTATGCTTACGCTGTGGATGCTCCCTCAGTGGGAAGCTCTCTATAATAAACATTTATCATGACATCAACAAGTGAAACAACACTATTTTTAAGAGCCAACAACACTGCGATTTTTCAAGAAATTGTGTTTGTGAAGCTTCAGAAAAGATTCATTTGCAGAAGTAACAAATGGCGACTTACGGAGAACTAGAGCAAACTCAGAACATGTAACCCTTGCTTAGTCTTTGAAACCGCTTCACTGAAAATGATCGCATTAGATTTAGGAAGACCATATAAATTGATACTTACTTTCAGGACATATGAAAATATCCTGAATTAATCAATTCCTTATTTTTATTTCTTTATGCATGCCTCATTAATATCTTGCTGCTAGCATGTACATGAACCACAGAGTACGCATAGTTAACCCTGAGAAATTCTAAAACAAATGCAATGAAAATACTCTAACCAAGCCAATAGTAAAACTAGCTGGCTAGTGAGGTGAAGAAAAATTTCCATTCAGTAGCAACGGTACCTCTCCACTCCCCAAAACTATCTTCTAAAGTGTGGATGCTTACTACCATTCTACTCACCTAACATCACCCTTGTTTTTATTCTTACATTCGCTAAATCAGACACTGTCTTCTCAGAAAGCATTTGGGGATGTAAGGTGGTGGAGAAAATATATGCCTGCAGTATTTCAAAACAAAATGATTCATTAAAGTGCTTATGCTATTATCACCCACAAAAATGCATTTATATTCATAGGAAATTAAGTTTTATAGTTTCCCATGCAAATATCAAGAAGGGCCATTTATATTTTCTTACTGAAAAGTTAATGACTTGCACATTCCCTAATAAGATATTTTCAATAAACCTCAATAATGTGGCTATTTACATTCATAGTTATTGTCAGGAGCATAAAGAAGGAAAATAATTTCTCCACCCTATCCCTTAACCCTAAAAGCTTGAAATTTATATCTGTAGAAAAATACCAAACCGCAACATTCCCCCCCGCCTCCAAAACCCAGAACTCAAAATCCCACCTTCTGCAAACCAAAGTCATGGAATATTGCTCTGGAAAGCGCACAATCAGCAGACCGCGTCGGAGCGGCAGTATTTTACTAACAGGCTGTCAACACAGCCCAGGGAGGGTATGGGTGCAAGTCTCTGCTGCAAGCGTGGAGGCAGCACGGCGCCCCAGAGGAGCGAAGAGCTCGGGGCCAGGCCACCCACAGCGGGGCGAGGGGTAACACTGGTCCTCTCCCAGGGTGTTTGCGGTGTCCCAAGGACAGAGCCGAGCCCCAGGAGCGCGAAGGCATGGCTGGGGCATGCTGCTATAGGTCCTGTCTACTATTCCCAGCTCCGATTTCTCTTTTTGAGCAGATACTACATTGTGAGTTAAATCTGGCTTGTAGCTACTCTGTGGATGAAGATCCTATCTTATCTATCTTTCTGTAGGTTTTGTACATTTGACAAAGGCACAAATGACAGGATAAGGCTTAAGACGTGGCCATATTGGCCAGCTGTCTCCACCATATATTCCAAGAATCAAAACAAATTTTAGGAGCAATATAAATAGGGAAATATTGCAAAATAGCATTTCATATAAAAAGTACTCTGCCATGACATACCCGGTACAATTTGAACAAATTTGCTCAAACAGTAAATCTTGTGTCAAAATAACGACAGCTGGAACTTAATACCCTACATATCTAGCTTTCCAATAAGAATTTAAATTAAAAAAAAAGTCTGTAAATCCCAGCATGCTGACCCACATGAGATTCATGGAAAGGGAAGGTTATACGCCTAGACTCGACACACAGAAGTGTGGAGGTGTTTTGAGACATTAATAAAACCAAGTACTATTTACTTTTCATTTTGCAGTGTACCACCATTCCTGTGGGTTTTACAATCCTAAGGAGACTGAAAACAGAAACACTTCAGCTGTAGAGTAAAAGCACCAATTTCCCGAACTACGGGCCAAAATAGTCTGATAACACACACAGCAGAATAGATCATTCTGCACATATATAAATAAACAAAACCCTACTCAGAAAACAAGCAACAAACAAACAAGAAAACCTTTATCCTTGAGCATCTGGGATCCAAAGGCATTCAAGTCCAAGAGGAGAAATCATATTTGAGCTTTATCATATGCTAAAGAGCAGGTCTAACCTTCCCTCCAGAAAACGACACCATCTGTTAGATTACATACATGTACTACCTGCTCCTCAAAGTCAGTAACGTGTATTCATTTCATGGGAGCAGCCATAACTCTCTGAACAGAGGGGAAATCCAATGGACTGAGATGCAGACAATCCCTTTGTCCTTGATTTCAAACAAGGAAAACTTTGGAGTTTGAAAGTTGGTTTTAGGTAGTTTTCCAGCTTCACAGCTTAGAAGAAGCTTGGCGATGTAGAAGGGCGCAATTTTATGTTGTTAAACCCTGGAGACATGTGGGATCTAGACAAACGTTCTTGTGTCAGCAGAGCGAAAACTGAAAGAAAACAGATTTGCCTGTCCACAGTGGGCGTTCTAGCTCCAATCCCTCAGTCACTGCATGTGCAGGCATCACATCGAGCCGTTAATTCTGCAGAATTTCCCTCCTACTCCCCACTGCATCACTATTCCCTACCGGCTGCATAACTGAGCCTCTCACTGCCTCGCATTTTCCCTGCAGATTGAGTCACGTTCTTCCAAGCGCCTGAACTTTGCTTCCTCTGCTCTCTTCACCACCTTCCTCTCCTAGTTCCTCAGCTCTTTTTTTTAACTCCAGCCTCACTTTGCTTTCCTCCCTCTTTCCAAGGCTCCTGCCCTGGGTCCCCGTACCTCGTGCACAGGGTGACCGCTGGATCCCGGCTGGAGGAGCCGCCTCCGCTCACCCTGGGGATGGTGACTTCTCCCTGGGCCCTTCCCTCGCAGCGGGCTCGGCGCTGCCTTCCTGCTGCTCCTCCTCCAGCTCCCTCGCTCCGGCACACAGAAGGGAGGTTTTCCTGCAACTGGTGTTGGGGCCTAACGCCAGGAACAGTTCTGCCCACCGTGGCCAACAGCCAAACACCGGAGACACCTGAAGTGGAGGGGCAGTAGAGGGCCTGGGATGCCACCGATCCCTTCTCAAAGGCACGCAGGCCTGAGGTCTGCACCCTGAAGGCGCTCTGCGTCCCCACATCCCCTTGCACCCGCTGTTCCTGGTGACCCCCCCGCCTCGCTACGGATGCTCCCCAGTGCCTGACGGGAGGGTGAGCAGAGGAGAGGAGGAGGAGGAGGAGGAGGTGGCTGAGCAACCAGGCTTCCCCTATTGCCGCTGCCATCGCCTTTGCGTTGCAGAGGGATGATCTGGCTGCCTTTGTGGGGCCCTTTGGCAGGAGCCCAGTAGCCTTTCTGTGCCACTGCTCCCATTGTACCGCAGCCGCATAAACAGGGGCTTGTCCAGAGCCTTCTCGACAGCTCTGGAGGAGATCCACAAGCAGCCAGTGGTAAATAGGCCACAGCAAGCTGGGCTACTCTGTACACCGGCTATTGTCCGTATCCTTATCCCTATTTCTTGTAGGAATATGGAAGTTTGCCGGTATCAGTGAAACAGTACAAAGAAATATTACGCGACTGGGATAAATATTCTCACCCGGACCTTGACGCTACCAAGATTGTCTTTGATGCTCCACTGCTTCTAAAATCACAGACTGGATGATGTTTAGCAGTTCGTGGGGCCACGTTGTTTTGCCACAGAGATAAATAAATGAGGCAGAAAATAAACAGTGTTGGAGAAGAAAAAGCCAGCTGCCATTGTGAGGAGAAGAATTATTTTTAAACCAGAAAAGGACATCTTGACCAATAGACTACTATTATCCTCTCTCTATGCTGCGAATATTCAAAACTAGAAAAAATGATATCAGCGCTCTACTCCCTGGCGTCTAAGCTCTCTTTGACAGGAAGGAAAGCATAAAGACAAGGTCTTTCATCCACCTGCAACGCGCCTGGTGGTGCTAGGCAGCGTATGAGTCACCAGTGCAGTCTGCTCACTTTGCATTCATCTGAGCCACCACACAAACTGTAAGGCACTAGAACACTACTAGACCAGGATCAGAAGAAAAATCAGTGAGGTTGGTCCTCTCCAAGCTCTGAGATCTCTAAACCGGAAAGAATTCCCCTGTACTTCCTGAACTTAAATGATAGACTCGAAACCCTCTGGTCTTCCTTGTTCAGCCTTCTTCCTCCTACAGCTGTAACACCGGGAATACTCAATGTCAAAGTTCCCCATCATGGGAACACCACGTACAGAGCAGGAGTTAGCGTGGCTCCTATAGCATCCTCATAAGAAATTCCAGTAGCTTTAGCAGGAGCGCTATATTTACCAAAAATCTGGTTGTTCTTTCCCTCTGTTTTCTCTCTGTTAGAATTGCTCTGCTTACAAGGAGAGCCCGTCCTGGTGTAGGACGCCTCACGCGTTCTGAAACCCAGGACAACGTGGATGTACAAGCAGGACCTCCGTTCTGTTCTCCCTTGCCCGACCCACAGCAGAGCGGGCAGAGGGATGAAGCGTATATGCTACACAGCATGCTCGAAGATACTGCTTTAGCTGCCTCTAAGACAGAACTTAGTATTTCACGAATACCCCCTTCTCTACAAGGGCAAACGGCAGGATTCTCCCATCCGACTTCCCAATTGTTGCAGTGATCAGCTGGCCTAACCCCTGAAGATGAGATTAGCAAGCTGACGTGAATTATTCCATTGTCTTCAATGAAACTAGACAAATTTATACGCACTGAGAATCTGCTCTCCACTTATTACTACAGTCCTGTGCAAAAGAATATATTTACAAAATTGCAGTACAAATATGGATGTGAAGAAAAACAATCTTTCTCTTTCGTAAAAGCTGTTACCTATTTTGATTTCTACGCATCCATAAAAGTAGAGGCTACAGACCGTATTCTGTCTGCATGGCCTCTCAAATTAATGTTGTTTTAAACAAATTCAACCTTTATGATTTTTTTCCCTATCCCAAAACAGTTACTGTTTCCTGCTCTGCATTTAATTTTTAATATGGAATTAAATATGTACTCAGATCAAAAAATCAATTTCCTTTTGAATTACCCAAATGTTAAAACCGCACTCCTGTGGTACAGAGACGGCACTCTGAAGAACAGAGCCATCTACAGAAATCTTTTTGATAATGGTGTCCTTCTTTCAAATCCAAACATTTCCTTGATGTAGAATACAAATTGAGCTCTAGTGTATAAGTCAGCTAGGATCTCAAAGTTGGCCTTTATACTTTGCCATTAATTAATTCCGTCCGAGAAATTTAGACAAAGATACAAACAAAAAAGTTCTCTAAATACGTTACATAAGGCATTCAGAATATTCTGATTCATTCCCCTCCAGGAACACAGCAGAGTCAAAGAATAGTGTACGCAGCATGTTTAGACTGTATAAAAAGCACTAGAAACGGTAAGAATAGTTTTAAACCCATTGATTTAAAGCCCTCCATTGTGAGAACTATTGTGGAGTGTTTGCTAAGCAGTCCACACTTCGGAGCTCTAAACAATCGCAAGCTTAATGAAGTGTACTTTCCCTCACTCGCAGAGCGGGGACAAAGAGTTTCCTATTAAAAGGGAGGAAATGAAAGCAGAAGGCAGATGACCTCTTCCAAAAATTACTGGAGCTTTTGAACAACTGTAACATTAAATAGAAAGTCAGCAACTTTCAGTCAGCAAGATTTACTTGAAGGGGGAGGGGGGAAGAGATCCGAGAAGGAGACTTTCTTTCCGCATACGATTCCTGCGCAGCTGGAGCCAGGTAGAACGAGTATCCTGCTGATGCAACGAGGAGGAAAGCCTCTCAGCATCTAGCAGGGAAAACTCATAACTCTTACCCTAGACATTTTTTATTTTGTTGTAACTATCACAACAGAGCTAAAACAGAAGCTGAGAATTGGGGTCAGTGGTCAGTCAGTACAGAGAATCCTTCAAGCTGCATAATTGACAGTGCTTTTTTGCTTGGGAAAGATGGAAGCGCAGAGCAGGAACACAGCAGATGTGCCTAGTCAACCTGAAAGTAAAATAAGACTTTTTTTTTTTTTTTTTTGCCTCTCAAGATTTACTTGGTCCAACTTGTGTAGAAACACAAGAGGAACTTACACCCTAACATCCCTGCCATAAAGCCTAGCTGATCTGAAGAACAGATCTGGTAGACAGGGGAGAAAGCAGAGCCACAAATCCCGTGTCAGGTTAAGCCAGAGTGACTTTGGGGTGCTCCTCCCTACTCTGCAGTGTAGAGATGCCATCTTTCCCTGCCTGCCTCCTCCCCCCCATCCCTTCAGTGGTGTGGTAACTACCTTTTTCAGAGCACAGTTGTTAACATACAGTGCTCCAAGCGCCATTGAGCTATGTGAGATTTTCCAAGCTCATTTTTTTCTCCTACTCTTGTCCTTTTTTTCTTTTGGAGCCCATCTCGCAGAGAACTAGCTACTGACAGCTATATATTTGGGTTAGGATCTTATCAGATCGTCATTTGTGCGTAACACATCTATTTCTTTTCCTGTAATTTTATTTTCAGTGCAGTGAGACCTAGGAAAGTCCTACAACCAATTGTACCATTTAAATGTCTTCGTTTTGAACCCTGGACTGTGAACATGCAGCATGAGAAAAGACATATTTGAGACATTCTCTTGGCATTTTATTCACAGGTAGACCTACACAATCTTAATAGGGTTTTACGTTACCATGACTTGCAGCATTTCCTAGGAATGCTTCAGAAGAGGATATAATTCCTAGAAAGGGTGCAGAGGCTAACTCTAGTGCCCGTATCAGCATAGAGAAGCACGTTTCTATCCATTTTCATCTTTCTTCTGACATGTCTTTTTTTTTAATGATAACTGAGGCTTATGAATCACTGTATTTCTATCATGCAAATTTTGAGTTTTTTTTTTTTTTTGAAACATACATTCTGGGTAGTGGAATCTGCTTAAATATTCACAGATCCCCTTTAAGCACTCCACCACCTGCACCAAAAGGCATAAGAAAACATTTCACTTACATATTGTAGAAATCAGCTACTGGGAACATTCTGAATCCAAAGTAAGAAAAGATCGATGACTTCCCTCTTTCCTCTCCATAATGAATTCCAAATGCCTGGATTCAGCCTTTCTATTCCACATGAAAATTGAAGATGCCACTAAAACCATGCTGTTGACACATGCCTGAACACGTGTCCCTTTCACTTAAACGTTCATCAAGTCTGGAATAAGCCGATACCTACATTCTCATAGCTTATTCTTCTGAATAGCTTTGGGACCTCTCATTCAAGAACCTGGACTTTCTCAAGGGCGTTTGGCTTCGAAATGAATCCAGCACAATACAAAGATTTTGCCAACTTTCATCTAATTCGAAAATTTCATCTCATGTTCCATACCAATAAAGAAACTCTGCTACTTCCACCCCTTGCAATCCATTTAAATCTCACTGTCATGTTTTATCTTTGCAATAGTTCAGTCCATCTGTATTTCATACTTGATAAGACTTGAAACCGTTGCTTGACACGCTGTCTGGAAATACGGTACCATGTCTCTTTATATTTATGGCCCAGCAAAGGATATATGACTTCAGGAAATCTAACTAATAACCGAAAGGATTTCATCCAGTGTAAACAGAGACACCTGTGAGTAGCAAGGAAAGGCTGTTGATTTTGCTGGGACAAGATCTAGTAGAAGTCGTATCCTAACCCAGGATTAAGCTAAGAAAAGTTCATGAAATCATAATAGCCTTTGATATCGATATGGGCTACAGAGGACACTGGAAATTCCAGTTTTCTTAAGAAAACAAAGTCCGTCAGATACCATATAATTTCACAACGTGTAGCCAGGTATTCAGACATGAAAAGCAAACTGAGCTATTTATCCATGAAACAGTTATCACGGGTAGAAGATCTGTGGTTTTACTGTGAATTTACAGACTATATAGTTGGTGTGGTAACACAAGTTAACACTTCTGCAGCAACACTTTGGCAGGGGATGATTGCTGATTACACTAAGGTCACTGTAAGGCAGGTTTCCATGACAGCATTCGGGGTATCATTGTTATTTTGGAAATAACATTCAGCTTTGATCTTTGACTTCTTCAGAATTTCATTGTTCCCACGAGATATATTCTAGT